CCTGTGACCCCTGGAGAGGAAATGGTGGAGCATTTGTCATGAGGACAGTCCTGGTGACAGCCACTAGTCCGACGTTCTACCCCTTGGTAACCCTTCTGCACACACATGCTAAATGCTGCATTTGTTTCATGCCCCCTAAAGGGACACAGGAAGTATTTCAACATTGGGCTATACTACCGCCTACAAGAGAACTGGACATTGGAATACCCTAAAACTGCAGGAATGGGACCCGTGTCAATTAAAGGAGAACTATGGGGTCAAGGCTTTTCCCCATAGTTCTCCTTAGGGTGACGGGAGGACACAAACTAGCGTCCTCCCGTCACCCTAAGCTCAGTATATAGGGAGCTACAGCTCGCGGTATACTGAGACGCCGCAGCTGAAGCGGATCCCGACTTAGATGACAGGATCCGCCCAGCTGCGTGAGTGACAGCTGGCTCTGCCTATCTAGAGGCAGAGCCAGCTGTACCCGCCCCCTCCCCAGTCCGTTCCGCCAGTCAGCGCTGGAGGAGGGGGGGGGGGAATCCCTGCGGGGAGCCGGGGGTGACAGTCACCGCTCTCTGCATGTGACAGTCTCATTGTCACAGGTCGGCTAGAACTATGAGGTGAGTGAAAAGCCCCCCCCCCTCATAGTTCTCCTTTAATGGACTCTAAGAAAAGGATTTCAAGCCGAGTACTAAAATCCTATTTCCTTTCCCATCTGATGAACGACACAGGAAGTCATTCACCTTTGGGACGTCCAAAAGCAGTCTACCCGAGAGGTGGCAGACAATCGCCAACAGGCCCAAGAAAACGCATAACTGAGGACAGGGCCGGATCTGCTCTCTCTGCTGCCCCAAGGCCAGGTTCCTCAACGAGCAGAGAGAGAGAGAAGAAAGACAGCACAGAGAGAGAGAGAGAGACACAGCAGAGAGAGGGAGACAGCAGAGAGAGGGAGACAGGTGAGAGAGGGAGACAGCAGAGAGAGAGAGAGAGACAGCAGAGAGAGAGAGACACAGCAGAGAGAGGGAGACAGCAGAGAGAGGGAGACAGGAGAGAGAGGGAGACAGCAGAGAGAGGGAGACAGGAGAGAGAGGGAGACAGCAGAGAGAGGGAGACAGGAGAGAGAGGGAGACAGCAGAGAGAGGGAGACAGGAGAGAGAGGGAGACAGCAGAGAGAGGGAGACAGGAGAGAGAGGGAGACAGCAGAGAGAGGGAGACAGGAGAGAGAGGGAGACAGCAGAGAGAGGGAGACAGGAGAGAGAGGGAGACAGCAGAGAGAGGGAGACAGGAGAGAGAGGGAGACAGCAGAGAGAGGGAGACAGGAGAGAGAGGGAGACAGCAGAGAGAGGGAGACAGGAGAGAGAGGGAGACAGCAGAGAGAGGGAGACAGGAGAGAGAGGGAGACAGCAGAGAGAGGGAGACAGGAGAGAGAGGGAGACAGCAGAGAGAGGGAGACAGGAGAGAGAGGGAGACAGCAGAGAGAGGGAGACAGGAGAGAGAGGGAGACAGCAGAGAGAGGGAGACAGGAGAGAGAGGGAGACAGCAGAGAGAGGGAGACAGGAGAGAGAGGGAGACAGCAGAGAGAGGGAGACAGGAGAGAGAGGGAGACAGCAGAGAGAGGGAGACAGGAGAGAGAGGGAGACAGCAGAGAGAGGGAGACAGGAGAGAGAGGGAGACAGCAGAGAGAGGGAGACAGGAGAGAGAGGGAGACAGCAGAGAGAGGGAGACAGGAGAGAGAGGGAGACAGCAGAGAGAGGGAGACAGGAGAGAGAGGGAGACAGCAGAGAGAGGGAGACAGGAGAGAGAGGGAGACAGCAGAGAGAGGGAGACAGCAGAGAGAGAGAGAGACAGCAGAGAGAGAGACACAGCAGAGAGAGAGACACAGCAGAGAGAGAGAGCAGAGAGAGAGAGAAGAGAGAGAGAGACAGCAGAGAGAGAGAGAGAGACAGCAGAGAGAGAGAGAGAAGAGAGAGAGAGACAGCAGAGAGGGAGAGACAGCAGAGAGAGAGAGAGAGAAGAGGGAGAGAAGAAAGACAGCAGAGAGAGAGAGAAGAGAGA